AGCCATGTTACCGTACATGTTCTCCTTTGCCTTTAGCTGCAACTACTGCCCTCCTGTGACAACTAGATTTGCCACAGTTGACTTGTAAGTCACCCCATATTTATATTCCCATTATTTTCAGTGGATTTTTTTCCAAAGTAAATATTTGTGTGTGTCTGTGCACACGTGCAACATGTATGTGGAAGCAATCACTGCTAAACCTTTTACTTCTATGAGAAATATAATTGAAACATATATATTTATGTTCTGGATTTCAATATCCTACCCTCTGCTTTGGGATACTGCTGTAATTCCAAGCTACAAAATGTTTTAAAAGATAAAATGATACTTGATTAGAAAAAGAAAAGATGGTATTTTAAATACATTTGATGATTAAGTTACATGTTTTTGACACAAGCCTAGTGGCATAAGCCAAGGGGGGGGGGTTCAAAGACATATCGTTTAATTGTTGGCTATACGCAAAATGATATAGATTTCTAACATCCTTGGCCATGGATCTGCATTTTAAATGCAAACATCCAGTTTCCACAATGGAAAAAAAAAAACCCTTTTCTTTTCCAGAAAATCTGATTTTCATAAACATCTATAAAACACCATTGGTATGGAAAATGTTTGGGGAACTTATTTAAATGTTATCCCCTCCTCATTTTCATTGACGATCAACCCACAAGGATTGTAATCGCAAGATATCCTATCTAACCATAAGGTGAGCTTACAGTCCAGGGATACCCTGCCAAGACCTTATCTGGCTTGTACTCTTAATTGTTCTCTTAAGAGGCATCTGTTTAATTACTTAACTTTCCAGCTCTATTGTTTATAGTAGGGTTTTTCAGGGAGCAATTCTTAGTGTGATCATTATCAAATTCTCCTCCCTCATCTACCCCTCCCCCTTTTTGTAATCACCAGCCTGGTGCCAGGGCCCACTTCTCTTGCCTGCCAAGGGATCTGGCAGGAGCCAACCACCGGACGGTTTGGGTCGCTGTTCTCATTCCGCAGCCTTCCCCTGTCTCTTCCACTTCTGAGCTCCACCACTGAGAAAAAGCAGATATCCCCCCCCCTTCTCCGCCCCCAGCCCTCTACTCCAAAGTGAGCTGCTGTCAAAGTGATGCACATTGACCTCCATGCTGTAGTCCTGCCTGGGAGAAAACTAGGCGTGCAGGGAAAAAGGAGAGCCCGTTGAAAAGCAGGCCGTTACAGCACCTTTGTGGCATCACTGGAACCCACATTCACAAGCAGGGGGTAGCGAGGAATCACCAAGACTTTATAATTTATTCCATCAGGCCAACCTTGGAGCTTTAGATCTAAAAAGGGCCGTAGCTTCAAACACAGGCCAAGGGATGCAATAGAGGTGCTGTCATGGGGAAGTAGAGACATGAAAGCCCAGTGGAAAACAATTGGATGAAAGGATTGAACAGAGGAGGTAATAATTCACTCTTCTAAACTTTTGATAACAAGTCACAAGCTGCTAGGGAGGGTACCTTCCTTTGCTTAGCTCTTCAAGACTCCAAGCTAGTATTTCACACTTTAATGCCTTTCCTACCTCATACTGTCCAGATCTTTGGACTACAGTTCCCAGAATTTCTAATCTTTGGCTAAAACCATTGGGTATTATAATATTATAGCTCAATAGCTCTGAAAAGTACCAGATCTTCATTGGCTTTAATATAACAATCCCTGTTTTTTTTTTTATAACGGGAATTTAAAATCTAACCCAACCTGTTGGAAGTAAATTTTAGTGCCATTCTATACAAGAAAACATCCAATCAGAACTTTAACACAATATAATCCAAGGCAAAGAGAATGTACGCGGATTAAGTGAAATGTTCCATGGAGTTTCACTTGTTTCAAAAAGCATGGGTCCGCCCCATTTCATTTTGGTTAGTAGGACAAATGTTTTGTAAAATAAAAAGTAAAAGAGAGTTACTTTAAAATATTCTCTCATAGGGGTCATTCTTGTGGAAATAGGTGAAAATGAATATACTTTTCCCAGCATTGGAAAGAGCGGTGATGACACAGTGGTTAGAATGTCAATTGTTGTCACATTTTGGGTACTTGGAACCAACCCACATTTATGGCTATTTGCAGTGTCCCACAGTCATGTGATCATGATTTATGGCTTTTTTTTGGCCAGAAATTAGTTTTTACCTTTGGTTCCTGGCAAAAAATTGCCCATTAGGTAAAATGGATTAGCTTAATAACTGCTATATTCACTTAACGACCCACACAAAAAAATATCATAAAATCGGGTAAGGTAAATGGTGCCCTGTTTTATGACTGGAACAACTTATGACCACAATTCTGGGCTCAATTATAAATCGAAGGCTACCTGTATTCAGGGAGTCCTCAACGTACGTCGCAACTGAGCCCAAAATTTATGTTGCTAAGTGAGAAATTTGTTAAGTGAGTTTTGCCCCATTTTACAACTGTTCCTGCCACATTTGTTAAGTGAATTGCTGTAGTTGTTAAATTAGTAACACGGTTGTTAAGTGAACTTGGTTTTCCCCTTGACTTTGCTTTTCAGAAGGTTGCAAAAGGTGATCACGTGACCCCAGGATACTGCAACTGTCATAAATCTGAGTCAATTATCAAGCATCCAAATGTAAATCATGTGACCATGGGGATGCACCAATAGTCCTAAGGGTGAAAAATGGTCATAGGTCACTTTTTTCAGTGCCATTGTAACTTCGAATGGTCACTAAGTGAACTGTTGTAAATTGAGGACTACCTGTATATAATTATTTTATTTGTCCTACAAATTTCATTGCTGTAAATAAGCCAAGCACCCATAATGCAATGTGTGTATCTTTAATTGTTTCATACCATGATAATACTTAAAACTAAAATTATTGGGAGATATGTTAGAAATTTCCCGTAATGTTATAGTTCCAAGTAAGTGGGCATGTGGGGGTTTTTTCTACAATATTTTAAAAGCAGCAAGCAGCAGCACTCCCCCCCCTTTCTGTTGCTTTCTGAGAATAATATTCCTCTGCTCCTTTAACAAAACAGTGTCAGTTTGTGTTTGTGTAATGCCATCTACACAGAACCCACTTCATTGTCCTTTCTCAAAAATGTACCTAGAATAGGAGCAATTGATTCCCAAGAGTGCTAGCTCTCCTGCAGTGAAAGCCACTGATGTTGGCTAATGTCCTTTCGCCGCATATGATATAAATAACATAAATAACTAGTCCTCAGACTTCAAACATGCCACATCAGATGTATGGCAGGAGATTACCAAGTCTGTTAGCACCTGGGTCTTCTATCATCTAGGCAGTTTAGGCACTGTTAACGAAAATAGAGATCAATGCTTCAATTTTAGGGAAGGGGATCTGTCCCATGTGACCAGACCCAAATCTTTTAGTTTATGACTTGCTTATACATTGCGAGTGAAAAAAACAGTTTACATTCTGGGGCTCAGAAGCTCTCCTAAATCAGCTGCCAGGTTTCTGCAGCTGGCAGTAAAGGGAAGGGGTGTCAGCAGGCTGCCCAGAAGTGAACAAATGAGCTGAGAGGTAAGTTAGAGATGTTTGAAGGGAACACGAAACTGTTCCTCTTGGCACACAAAGCTGCTGCTGAGCCCAGCTGTGAGGACAGTGGTGACTTCACTAATTTCCCATTCCCATTCCAAAGCCATTATTCATGCTCATGTGTTGGAGAGAACAGACTACCATAGACAGGGTCTTATTGAAGATGGCTACCTTGAGTTACAGAGGCAGATTTAGAAAAATCCATTGTGCGCTCTCTCCCTTTCTCTCTCTCTCTCTGCATATTTTTTTTATTTTATAAACAAACAAACATACATAATCAGTTCTTCAGTGTATCATCTAGGTTCATCTTTTGTGACTTCTTCTTCTTACTCCTCTGATCTTCTTAGTATTTTCCATTCATTTGTTATAACATTTGTTATAACATATAACATTTGTTATATCCCCAAATTATTCATTTATTTATAACATTCTCCCCATATTTCTTACTCACTATTAATATATTTATCTATCTTCATTCTCCCCTTTCTTCTTCCATTGCTTCATTACAACATTACCCTATATACAGTATATCTCTTCTCTACCCAATGGTAAAATGGTCCCCATATCTTAAAATATTCCGATTCCTCTCTTTCTTTAATTATCAAAGTCAATTTATACATTTCTGCACAATCTAATATTTTTTTAATTATTTTTCCCTCTGAAGGGATGTTCTCTGCTTTCCATCTTTGCGCAAATACTATCCTCGCTGCAGTTATTACATGTATAATCAAATATATATTTTCTTTACTGATTTTCTCTGGTAGAATACCCAATAGGAACAGCTCAGGTTTTAATTCTATATGTTGTTGTAGCATTTATTCTAACTATGTTTTAATTCTAGTCCAATAATTTCTCGTTGTGCTTTCTCAAAGGGGGCTGTTCATGGCAGGGCTTTGACTACACAGAGAGCAAAATATTTCATTAAAACAAAACAAAATACAAAACAAACAAACCCCCCCCCCCAAAGCTAATGTTAGACCCACAGCCTCCAAAATAGAAAAGCACACCTTCCTCCAGCTCTTTTGTATATAAGTGGTTTATTTTGGTAGTTTTTTTTTAAAAAAAAAGCAAAAATGTGTTTATTATTTGTTTGGTTATTATTCCAACCCTTTAACCTGTTTCCATCTGCTTCCTTCACCTTTTGGGCTTCCAAAGTGGCAATAAAATTCCATACACAACCTAATAATAGTAGAAGTAGAATGACTGTGGCAAAAGAACGCAAAGATAGTACCAATAGTCTATCCCAAAATATCTGGAGCATTTCTTGAACATCGTTGGCATTGACAAAATCCCCATCAGTCAATTGCAAAAGGCAGCTTTACTTAGAAGAGCTTACATCCTTGATGATACTTTTAACACCATCAAACAACTTTTGTCCATCCCAGGACTTGGTAGGTAGATAAAAATGCCAAATCTAGACTAAACATCTGGCTGACTGTGCAACAAATTATAATAATAAAACTGACTCAAAACCTGTTGTGCTTTCAACTCAACAAAATTTATTTTAAATTAAATCCAAAATCCCCCAAAATATGAATTGCTTCACTGATCTTCTGAATGCCAGGATGGAAGGACAGGAAAAATATTTTTTTTCATTGGGAGCTTCCAGGGAAAAGAAGATGACAACATCTTATCTTCAAACTGTGGAGATAACCCTTTAATGATAAAAAAAAAGACCAAGGGATTCCCATTAGAACACAAGCTGTCCTTCAAAAACTGTAGTCCTTTATATTCAAAAGTAAAGGATCCCATGGCATCTGGCAATCATGCAGCTGTTCTTTATTTAATTGCCCTAAATCATCCATATGTGTGACACTCACATACCCATTGATTCATTCCTTTTGTGTCCCCTTTCTTTTAAGTGGATTAGGGCTACTAGTTCTGGGTTACCAACTTGCAGGTGACCACTAGCTGCCAGAAGTCTGTAGAGATTCTCAGTCATGCAGGTCATTGTTGTCACAAAGGTGCTTTTTCAGGAGGCAACTGGACTTTCTTGTTTTTTCTTTTGAAGATGTTTAGCTTCTCATGAGAAGCAAAACGTCTTCAAAAGAAAAAACAAGAAAGTCCAGTAGCCTCCTGAAAAAGCTCCTTTGGGACTCTAGATGCCAGCAAAGAGACACTTAAATCTGTAGCTCTTTGTTGCCCTATAGTGGTGGTGATCTACCCTTTTGCAGCCCAGTTCTGGTAAACAAAGAGTAGATGTTCATAGAAGCACATTATAGAAACAAAGGTGAGAGGGAAGACTGGGGCAAGACACTGGCTTACCTCTCCATTATTGCTGGAAAGGGAAACTATGGGGAATATCAATAACTACCACTACCATCTACACTTAATTTACCCTGAAAAGTTCATTTACATCTTACTTTTGCTGTATATGCATGTGTCAGATAAACACACACATGATGCTTTGACCTGAACATGAAGTTTTGAGTTTGGAAAAACAGTTGAGACAGAATAGAATGTAAGAGGAATCAGTTGAAATAATCAAGATGAACAAGAAATATAATTGTGTCAGCATTAAGAAGGAATCCTTTAAGGAGATAGAAGTAGAAACACGAAACAAACAAACAAGCTTGAATACTAACTACATTCATTTGCTGCATAATAAAATTCATTTATCCCCAGTCTAAACTGGTGAAGAAATAGATCACCCATGACCTTAGTTTTTAATTTTCAGAATGAAAAAAAAAACATTGGAAAAAATTAGTAAAACCCTTAAGAATTTGATTTCTGGGTTCATGATATACCTCTTAGCAGAACATTATCTATATTGGGCTAAATGTGCCTATATTAGTATTCCTTCCCCCAATAAAAGTCACCTTTATATATACTGAGTAGACATGCCAGAACATGCTGCTTTCCATGAGATGGGCAGCTATTCAAATTTGATAAATGAGTAAACTGGGTTGTGAAAAATCATGGCAATCATTAGATGGCAGCAAAGCAATTCATAAAGAAGGTAATATTTTCCTCCATTCCAGCAGATAGTTCAGTATTTATATCCTATGTATGGTATTCCCAATCCTGGAGCATGGGAAGAGTGGTTCACTTAAAAGTTACCTTGTGGCACGAGAATGGGTTAGCCAGTACTATACAGCTGTGAGGGAAGAGATTCCATAGCTCAGTTTTAGGCCTGATCAAGGCAAAGCCACACTTCTATCCCATGGTACAATTGATTGATGGCTCTTGGCAATCGGCCTTATCCTCATCTCTTGATAGTTCTCAACAGGAGGTACTTAGATTGCTATACTCTTTACAATATCCATCCCAGCTTTCAGTTTACCTCATTCCTTTCCCCCAATTACTACCGGTAGGATAGTGGTATCTGTGTGCATGTATGTATGTATATGTGTACATACACACATTAACATCTACACACAAACTAAACATTCAGGATATTCCTGCTTTTCAGTGCCTTCTGCTTGTATTTGTCTTGTGTTAAACCATTATTTTAATTTAAACTAATTGGTATCCTTTTTAAATTTAAATAGGCAAGATGACAGACAATAATTGAAATATAAAGTATATGGAACTAATTTCAAAATGGCAAGCTGTAGCATATGTTAATATTTTTTTTTAAAAAAAAGGATGTGCAGAGAAGTGCATAAAACATCTGTATCAATACTCAAGGGATGCAACATTTAGGAGAGTGAACAGGAGAAAGGAAGGGCGAGGGAGGGTTGATGAGCATTCCTGTGGCAAAATCTTTGGAGGCAAAGCACAAGGAAATATCCACACCTGTTTCTGACTAAACAGTCACTGAAGGTATTTCCATTCAGGATCTATGCATCACTCTGCTCTGCACTTATGTGATCTCATTCTGTCTCTATTTGGCAGCTCAGCCAATTTACTTTTGGCTCAGATGAAGAACACTTCAAACAGTAATAAAAAATAGATTCTCTTTCCTTCTTTCTCTTTTTCTCTCTGCAGTGGCTTTGTATTGTTTTTGATAGTCTGTTTCCTCATTTGAAGGGTCCCCAGTAGACAATTTCTCCTTCTTGCCCTCATGCAAGTTTAAGAAGGGAAAGCGGCTTTAGGGAGCTACATCTTTGTAGCTCCCCTTCATAGGGACTGCTTTATGACAAATGCACGTAAAGGGAAATAAAGATGTATCTAGGAGAGTGTAATTTTTCTATTGTTTGTGCAAAGTGGGGATGAGGGCATTCTTGTTCCTTTGAGACTTGAGGTAGATCAAAGTAACAAAATGATGATTGTTGCTCTTTGTTCTCAGAATTTTGAGATGGACATAAGTAATGCCTTGGTGGTGCAGTGGACTAAAGTGCTGTTATGTAGCACTTAGCTGCCAGCTGCCTGCAATTACTGCAAGTTCAAATCTCACCAGGCTCAAGGTTGACTCAGCCTTCCATCCTTCCGAGGTAGGTAAAATGAGGACCCGGATTGTGGGGTCAATAAGCTGACTTTGTATAAAAAAGAACACCGCTTAGGGGGGCCCGAAAGCCCTACTAAGCAGATATATACAAAAGTATGAAGGCTATTGCTTAACGCATTGTAAGCCGCCCGGAGTCTCTGGAGAAGGGCGGCATATAAATCGAATCAATCAATCAATCAATCAATCAATCAATCAATAAATGTTGGTGGACCATTTTCAAACTGGTTTTGAGAAACTGGAGGGTGCATATTGCAGGTGATTTGGTATTTCACTTAGAGAAAAAAGATCAAATATGAGTTAAGAGTAATATGGTACCATAATCTTTATGATCTAGGAAAGAATTATAATAAATTGGAAGACTCAAGGAAGGACTATCATAAATTGCTACCAGTTTGTATTAAAAGAGATGGAGCATTCCGTGCATGAACAATTCCATCAGTGAAACAGCAGCTTTAAGGTGATCTGTGCCCAAACTGAAATACAGGCTTCAGATGATTGTGTCCCTACATGGGAAGAAAAGGGGTAGAAGTGGTTAGAGGGATAAAGAAAAAGCCAAGGACATTGCGGGTTGAGGATTGGAAAGAAAGAAAGAAAGGCATTGGGAAGATTAAGGGTAGTCAGGCAGGGGTGATACGTCATACTGGATTGTTGATAGTACCACTGGTGGCAAAATAATTCCCTCTTCCCTACAAACAATATGGATAAATTGTTTTTAAAATGGCTACATGCTAGTTAGAGCTTGTCTCCAGAATATTCTTTGCTAATTGCCTACAGTTTATCTGTTTTTTTCCTCCTTGTTATAAGCATATAAGTTTTATGGGACACACCCGGTCTAGATACCTTCCTTTCAGTTTCTTGTATTAACAATGTCCAGATTTGCTTTCATCTAAAACCTAGCTAAAATGAAATAATATTAAAAGAACATTTGCTCCTCTCAGTTAAATTCCTTTCCCTTCCCCTCCCTCCCCTAGCTAGTGTGTTTGGGAGCTACATGGAGCCAAAGGATGCATACTGGGGGAAAATTATTTTGTAGATTTGTTTGCAGTCTGAAGAGCTTACTTATAAGGGGTATCACAAGCTTTAATTTTTTTTAAAGAAATTATCATAAACTCTGGCAATTACATCTGGGCAAATAGTGCTGCTAAAATATTTAAAATGCAGTAGAAATATAGGAAACACATGTTCTTCCAGATGGCCCTCTTAGTATTTGATTTGCAAAACTAGAGACTGAAATGTTTATTTGTTTATAGAATGGCAGAATTCTCTTCAGGCTATTGTTACAAAAGTAGCCTTCAAAAACCTGAGATCACTATAAAAACATCTTCTGAGGGCAAAAGGATTCAGCCTTAAATGTCCTGCTCTAATTGCACTGTAAAACTAATGAGAGACATTGACAAAGGTGTTTTTTCTGGTCCTCTCCTTATTGTTTTACTCTTGAAAAAGGGGAATTTTGGTCTTCACTTCCTCCCAAGCTGAAATGGTGGAAAGGCCTTAAGATAAAACTTTTAGCAGCTTCTGTTGGGATAAATGCCTGAGCCAAGGTAGGCTGATTCTGGTTGGAAGAGGTGATTATACATGGAAGTCAAGCCATGTAAGGGCTTTAAACATTAAAAACAGAATAACAAAATAATAGAGTTGGAAGGGACCTTGGAGGTCTTCTAGTACAACCCCCTGCTCAAGCAAGGAGACTTTATATCATTTTAGACAAATGGCTGTCCACTCCAGTCTCTTCTTAAAAGCCTCCAGTTTTGGAACACCCGCAACTGAATCTTGTACCACAATCACCCAGAACCTTGAAATGGACCCCAAAGTTTATTGGTACTGAACCTATTCCCTCCCAATATGCTCAGCCCAGGGGTAAAATCCAGCAGGTTCTAACAGGTTCTGGAGAACCGGTAGCGGAAATTTTGAGTAGTTTGGAGAACCAGCAAATACCACCTCTGGCTGGCCCCAGAGTGGGGAGGGAATGGAGATTTTGCAGTATCCTTCCCCTGGAGTGGGGTGGCAATGGAGATTTTGCACTATCCTTCCCCTGCCATGTCCACCAAGTCACGCCCACAGAACCGGCAGGGAAAAATTTTGGATTTCACCCCTAGCTCAGCTATAATTTACTCCACCAACTTTCTAGACCACATGTTTTGCGGTTACTCTTTCATAAATAAGTTTGTTACTTCAACTTCACCTTATTTGATTCACCACCTTTCAGTATTACAAAAGTAAAAGGAGAAGAAGAGAGGGAGAGAGGGAACTGTGGGAGAAACAGGCTGCTGTTGGACAGTACAGTAACTCAATCATCTGACTAGAAAGATAAATAATTGGGCCGTTTCTCTAATCCAGCCACTTTGGGGGAAAAATGTTTGTTCTTATCCTATCTGAAACAACTTCAAAGTGGTTACAGTCTAGACTGCGCCAAAATAAATTACAAACCTAAAGATCTGATATAAACCACAAAGGGCAGCAGATTATTTGCATGAATGTAATTATAGTAGCAGAAAATATCCATCGTTATAGAGATGTATACAGTCTAAATCCTCGCTACAAAGAAAAGAAATAGAGGCAGCTGAAGAGAAATGTGTGTGTCAGAATCAAAGATTTTAGATACCTTCAACCACTTATGGAACACTCATCTGTACTATTTCTTTAAAAAGATGGAGAACAGTGCCTCCCTCAAGCAGAATTTTCACCGTACCAGATCATATCAAATAAACCAAACTAAATTCACATACAGCAGATTGTCGAAGAATTAAAGGAAGTGCAATAAATAGTAGTAAAACAAAACACTCAAGGGTTCAAAAGAGAGTTCAAGAAAAAGCTGAGATGATTTTGTTTCTCCCAAGTAAGTCACTTTTATTCTGCTACTTAGAGGAGAAGGAGGTGCTATCGACCAGTTTACTTTTAAAATACAATTATTACGCATTGTCAGTTCCTTTCCCCACTAAGAAATATGTGACTTTTTAAAAAAGAAAATAATAATGCCACAATTGTGAAAAAGTTGATTTTGATTCACAGAAATCAATACTGTTTAAATTAACCAACTCAGTTTCTGAATCTGACAATGATCATTGTTGGTGAAATGAGGTCATCTTTCTCCCTGGAGTCTTGGTGGTGCTCCTCAAATTTGTTTGGGAAAATTGGGTGATCCTCAGAATAAACCTGGACTACGTATGGAAAATGCAGAGTGCAGAAGTGGGAAGGAACACCCAGCGGAACAAACAAAATCTACTCAGGCAATGCTGGATCTTACCTATGGTTTGTGAATTACCATTTGTGAATAGAATAGAGCTGGAAGGGACCTTGGAGGTCTTCTAGTCCAGCCCCCTGCTCAAGCAGGAGACCCTATACCAGATGTGTCAAACTCACATCATCACAGCATCATTATGTGACGTATCGGGACTTTTTCCCCCTTCGCTAAACAGGGCAGGGGCAGGGCCAGCACATGACGCATCTGGCCCTTGGGGCATGAGTTTGACACCCCTGCCCTATACCCTTTCAGACAAGTGGCTGTCCAGTCTCTTCTTAAAAACTTCCAGTGACTAATTATTAAATGTTGCAATAATATATAATGCATAAGATACAGTGATAGCTCTATCTCTATCTATATGAATGTGTGTGTCTCTAAGACCTTCAAACTAAGTCCAGGAACATCTGAAATCAAATTGCTGTTTTCTTGGGTGACAAGACCACAGATGCATAAATTAGGTGTGCTACAAAGCCAAATACCTTTACCTTCTTTCAGAATCTCACCAAGTTCTACCTGTGGCCCTTTCTTTCTCAGTATTCCTTGCCAAACTCTTGTGTTTCTGGGCCACATAAATCCAAAGATGGTAGGCTTTGAAGTTTCCAATGAGGATGGTTGTTTTTGTTTGTGGTGCTGCTTATCACTCCAGCGCATCCTCCTTGTCTCCTTCTCAACCTAGTCTAGTTCTTCAATCCTAGAAAGCCTTGCAGCCACGGACCACAACCCTGCCAGAAAGCTCTGATAAGAATGATGGATGAGGAGGAGGCTGGCTCCACTATGGCCCTATAGTTTTCTGGAAGCTTGAGACAGTCTCCTTGCTACAAAGTCCCCTGGAATGCCTTCTTAGAAGCTGGTAAGCAGTGAAAGGAAGGGAGGGGGAGGAGGGGGAGCCAAAAGAGCCATCCGTCTCCCCCTGCAGATGAAACCCAGATGGATCCTCAGCCTCAGCTAAGCTTGATTGTCAGTTTCAGCACCCTTCTATGGCAATAACTTGATCAAATGCTGACAAGGTGTCTTTTCAGCATGGTCAGTCTTTGGCAAGATCCTGCTGCTCCTCCTGCTTAGCAGTTCCTTGGTTCTTTTTCATACACATCCTTTATAAAACAACTAGCCTCTTCTTTATGATAAGGCTGTCCAAACCCTGATAGCCACTAGATGGCAGTAAGGAGACAGTCCCATTTCCACCTACTGGTTGTCTGGATTTTTTTTGTAGCTCAGATTTGCTAGCCCTATTTGTGTCACCGCTCTCAGGCATTCATATTTGATTGGATATATTACAAAACTGAAATGACCATCGTTTCTATCGTTTTTCTAGTTTTTACAAAACTACCATGGTTGGCAATTGTAGAAAAGAGCAAGTTTTGATTAATCAGTGAAACACTTCAGCCACTTCAGATCTACAATGCAAGCTTGTCCCTACTTACAGATGGGAATAGGATTTATTGAATTCATTTATAGACTTTTGATTAATGGATTGTAGTTTTATATTGTCTGCTAGGAGGATTTCTGTGAAGCAAATGGAAATGATCGGTGAAGGGTGTTATGTATGCCATTAAAGAGTCTGTGACATTTTAAAGATTGATAAGAAAAGTACTATTGCATAAACTTTTGCAGTAATACATCCTGTGGTCTACAAGGGGCCATAGAATTGTTGATTTGAGGTAAAATTCAGTGAAAACTAATCATAAACCACCCAGAGTTCATGAAAAAGGTGAGAAAATAGTAACTAATGAAAAAAGGGATATTTGTGTCCACTGTTTCTCATGAAATATATATCAGAAAGCAGAATATGGGCATTCATTCTATAATAGTATAGATCAAAAATGCTGCAATCAGTGTCAGCCAAATTGATATGTAACCTATTGTCAATAATTTCATTTATTGCTATATATAAAGTTGGGATGTTTTTTCTCTCACACACACGCACACACGCACACACACACATTTTGGATCATTTTTAGGATGGTATAGATGGTATAGATCAGAGGTGGGTTTCAGCAGATTCTGACCAGTTCTGAAGAACCGGTAGTGGAACTTTTGAGTAGTTCGGAGAACCGGTAGTAAAAATCCTGACTGGCCCCACCCCCATCTATTCTCTGCCTCCCAAGTCCCAGCTGATCGAGGAAATGGGGATTTTGCAGTATCCTTCCCCTGGACTGGGGAGGGAATGGAGATTTTACAGTATCCTTCCCTTGGAGTGGGGTGGGAATGGAGATTTTACAGTATCCTTCCCCTGCCACACCCACCAAGCCACACCCACAGAACTGGTAGTAAAAAATTTTGAAACCCACTACTGGTATGGATCCTGCTTTACAATCCTGGGAAAATCATTGCATCCCTTTCCGATTGTATCATATGGCACTTCTTTAATCATTAGCCTAATTATTAAGGTAAGAATACAATAATAATTACATGAAAATCCAGGTTTCTAAAGCCGAATAAGATGAGAGTAATATTATTATGAATAACCCCAGCAATCCTAATAATGATATTTGTAAACTGTCATATCCATTGCCTCTGTCTTGTCACTTTTGCACGGGGAAACCATGCAGAAAGACCTGAAAACCTAGCTGTGAAAGCTCAGCTCAGCTTGTGTGTGGAATCTCTAGAAGTCTTGAAATGCCAATAAATTTGGCCCTGCCCCATCTATCACATGGGTGGAATGAAGAAGGGCCATGACTTTCATCAACTAGGGCTGTGACATGCCGCATTGCCGCAAAATGCTGAGCTCCTGACAGGTAAGAGGTGTGTTGCCTGAGGTGCTGACGTGTTGGCTCTGCTGCAGCTATCATTCTCCCTGATAGCTGAAGAGTGTGCAAGGCTATGTGTGGAGAAGTTTGCAGAAACAGGAAGACTCTTAACCTGTCATGTACTGGCTTGAGGGGGAGGGAGGTTAATTGGCTGCCAAGTAGCTTACTACGCACGGTATTATTTTGGCCTAACCAAGGAGAGTTATCCAACAAGGGCCCACTTGCTTCAAATTGCCTCCATATGGGCTCTTGCTGACTCTGAGTGACAAAAGGAAGGAACTGTGATAATATTGGATAAATTCAATACAGGGGCGGGTTCCAAATCCCGTCGCTACCGGTTCGTTCGTGCGCGCATGCTCGTGTGCATGCGTGGTGCTTCTGAGCATGTGCAGTAGTTTCTGCGCATGCGCAGAAGCGTCTGGGTGGGTGGGCGGAGCCTCCCACCGCCACTGCTACCGGTTCACCTGATCTGGTGCGAACTGGTAGCAACTCACCACTGGTTCAGTATGTATGCAGCTGTATTTTAGGGTGGGCTTGTTTACTTCTTTCAGCCTTTCTGCCAGTTGTGCTAAAGGAGGATTTCTTAGATGTTTTGGATATTTTGATTTGATTTTTGATTAATACTTGCCATGAAGTCAATGTCAAATCTTAGTGGCTTCAATGGTAGATTTTCTCCATAACGATCTATATTTAACCTGGCCTTCTAAAGGTCCACCATTGGCATTGTAACTATGTCCATCTATTTTTTACTGGCCTTGCTCTTTTCTTTGCTTCAAATGCTTTTAATTTATAAATGAAAGTTATTGCAAGAGCCCTTTAATGCTATTGTCTCAGGCTTACCCATACTCAGAGATCTTCCAGTTCTCATCATTAAGATATCAGCCATCTTGGCTACCAGCCATTCATTATCTTATCCTTCAATAATTTTCTCTGCCATTTTCAAAGTTGGCTATCTATACAACGTGGTAGCAAATTCCATATTTCAGTGGAGTGCTGAGTGAAGGATTTCTTTCATTTTCAATGAATAGTCTCAGTCTGTACTGCTAGAAGACAGGGAGTGAAATGGAAGAGTGATTCTTTATTCACATTCTTTACATACTATACTTAATCTTATGTATTTTTATTGTATTAGCCCTCTCCCAGCTTTTGCTCAGCTTTTCCTTGTAGAGGATTGCTCCAACCCCTCCGTTCATGACTCGTCTTGATAATGCTGTCCCTTTTCCTGCATTATAAAATACTTTCTGAGAGGATATTTGATAATTGTACAAACTAATTTAAAAGTTACTACATCAGACGTTTGTATGAAAACATTAAAGAGTTTTTGCATTTATTTTCTATCTTTTCCCCCTATGAGAAAGGGGGAAATGGAATCAATCCTTCTCACATCTGCAACATAAAGTCTAATTTTTTAAGTTATCTGCCCAAACCTTGAGTTCTCTTTCGTGGTTTAGCTGGTTTCCTGGTTTAGTTCAGGCCAGATTGGTATATACTACCTAGTATTTAATGCCATTCCTGCTTTCCCCTTTCCACCCCTTCCTTAACTTGGTAAGATCTTATTGAAGCATATCATGATTTCTGCTTCTTCTACCTGAATAACTTGATTTCATCAGCAAATACTAGCCAGCTCAGTGTTCTTCTCTAATTCCAATTCATTTATGAGAACATATTGGGTAGTATACATTATCTGCTCTAATGCAGAGAAGCTAAGGAGCACATAGTTTTTGGATACAAAGGCAGCATTGCCACATTTATCATTACCCCCATCATGGATCACCTGCTATTTTTGATTCAAGTGGTACATGTGCACCTTGTATGACGCTCAAGCATGTGCCCAACTATTAAATGCAGATATGCTCACCCAGCTAATTTGGCCAATTTTCTGGTGGGTCGTTACCTGACCATCAGCTTGAAACCTTGTTTCTTTTTACCCCAATACCCACTTTTAAGAAAGATATCCTAATGCTTTTGCAAGTGGGAATGTCAGTTAAACTAATTACAGTAGGAAAATATGAAAGCAGAAATTCTGAATCAGAGTGAAGAAGAAGCCAGGCAGAGCCTAAGGTCAGCGCTGAATGAATTACTTGCCAAGGACCAACAAGTAGGCTATTTTTTCCATTTAGCCCAAAATGGTTTACTCTCACAGTCCAACAGTAACTCACCCAGACTATCCAATAAAGATGTTTCATATAACCTATTAACTGGAAATACGAAAGATCAGATATTTTTTCCCCCATATGTCATTCTGTTCAGCATTTCCCCTCATTTTATCCACCTGTAGAAACCTCTGATAAATTAGTAGCAATACAGATGCAACGATATCTTTCTTGGACTGTTGCCTGATAATGAGCTAGTCTACCAGATGCAGCTTTGGATCAGCAGCATAGAAACCAACGCTACACCAAGCAGAACAGAATTTTCCCAATGGAGATAATATTCATAAGATCCTGATTCTTTGTTTTCAGTTGAAGAATTTTTGTTATAGCCAAACTTGAGAATTGCTCTTTTCTGACAGTTCCAGTGTGACAGAATCCCAGCTAAACTAGAAGACTGATTTAACTGAGAGGGAAGTTGCTTTCATTGTATTATGAGGCTAAACGCAACCATGCATGAATGGATACCTTTAAAAGTATCCTTGGTACAAAATACCTGGACTGTTGTGGCTCCGTTACCTGAGCCTGTGTCATCGGCAGAGAGGACTCCGAGAGTGAAGGAGAGGAGTTGGCAAGGCCTCCCTCTCCAGGACTCTCCTCTTTGGCAATGCCTTCGGTGTCCGCCGAAGGGCAAGAGATAGGGCCGGAGCCAAGCACGTCCACGCAGCCACAGGTGGACAGTGATGAGAGTAATGAGTCTTGGCTGGATCAATGCCAGCGTCACAGAGATAAGCGCGTGCAACAGAAGAAAAGGCATGCCCGAGATTAGGCTGAGTCACTGGACCACACCCCACAGGGTATAAAAGGAGCGTGGTGGCCAGTCAAACCTTGTGACGAACAAAGCTGAAAGCTTCCACGCCATTCTGCATTGCCGGACTTTTGCTATAGACTTTGCTGGATTATCTTTGGACTTGATTGACTCTGTAATTATTGAGCTGTTTCCTTTGATGTACCAAAAGCGGGGAGAAGTTATCTCTCCTCTTCGTAAGTAATAAACTCTTGGCAGGCAGCCACTAGGTTGTTGCCAAGTTCCGTTATCATAAGGAAAAGGATTTTGCCGGCTGGTTTGGTCTTTAACTCTTGAACGTCTGTTGGTGTGTGTGCATGTGGGACGGGGACAGAACATGGACTCCAAAAAGAACGTTGTGCAATGTAATTTTATGCCTGCCAGCACCCAATTTAAGAGCTTGGGTGCTATGCCAATCATATTGGCCTAATTTATTTCTGGTATCTCTACTGGCTGCTAAGCTTTCATTTGCAATTCTTTTGTTTCCAATATGCATAGCAAATAGCTGCTCAGAGTCGCCTTAAACCATGAGATGGGCAATAAATAAGTTTAATAATAAATGAAGATTTTTAAACAATGGATTTATAGGTTCATTTATTGTTTCCAAATACAGAATAGCATTGTTCCAATACTTGAGGGGTTGCCACAGAGAGGAGGAGGGCAATCTATTTTCCAGAGCACCTGAAGGCCAGAGAAGGAACAATGGATGGAAACTGATCAAGGAGAGATTCAACCTAGAAATAAGGAAACATTTTCTGACAGAACAATCAATCAATGGAACTGCTTGCCTTCAGAAGTTGTGGGTTCTTCATCACTGGAAGCTTTCAAGAATTTCAGCCACTTGTCAGAAATGGTATAGGGCTGTGATGGCAAACCTATGGCATGCATGCCCGAAGTAGCACGCAGAGCCATCTTTCCGAGCACCCAAGCTGTTGCCCAACTCACCTGTAGCTGTGCATGAACGCATGCCCCAGCTTGTGTTCGGGCTTCTGGTGCGCATGTGTGCAATTCAGGGGACCCAGCTGGCCTTCGGAGCTCTCCTGCACATGCACGTGTGTTTGCACATATGCGTGACATACTTGCGTGCAGCATGCATATACATAGACGTCATTCACGCACATGCATTGCATGCATAAAAACTGCACACATGCACAGATGCTGTGATTGTGCACACAGTGCATGGGAGGGTGCATGCAAAAGCTGTGCACATACACAGATGATGCAGTTGTGCGCGCAGCACACAAGGGAGAAGCCGTGCATTAGTGTGGAAAACCCGCCCGCCCGCGAAGCACATGAAGCACGTACCTGTTCGGCACTCAGTGAGTAAAAGGTTTGCCACCACTGGTATAGGGTTTCCTCCTTAAGCAGAAGATTGGATTAGATGACCTACAAAAGGTCCCTTCCAATTCTGTTATTCTGTATTCTGTAGGTCTTCTAGTCCTCCAAGCAGGAAACCCTATACCATTTCAGACAAATCGTTGTCCAATCTCTTCTTTAAAAACTCCAGTATTGGACCACCAACAATTTCTGGAGGTAGGCCGTTCCACTGATTAATTGTTCTAACTGCCAGGAAATTTCTCCTTAGTTCTAGGTTGTCCTCTCCTTGATTGGAACTGCTTGCACCTCTTAATATAGCATAAAGGGCTACTATGAATTTGCTATGCCAAAAATTTATGAATTGCTTGTTTTTTGCAATATTTTCTTAGTTCCTTTAAAAACAAAACACTTTTGCCCACTTTTTAGGGCAAATCTAAACATACAGCTAATATTCATTGGAGAGCTCATTCAGTTTATGCAAAATATGGACAGTTTTCATCCAGATTTCGAATACAGTATATGGAAATGTTACTCACTATCTTGGCAGGATGAAAAGTTTAAGTTTAAGACATTTAAAGCAATGGCATGGACAATTCTGATCTTAGAACAGTTTGTGAATTTAAACAGTGCTGTTTAAAATGCAACTCTGTTTCAACACAATCAAATAAAGATGTACTGAAAACGGATTGTTCCAGTTTTCCTTGATGAGAAAAAGCTACCCAACATGGGGAAAATATTAGCATTGTTAAATTTTAGGAAATCATTCTTAAAGTCTACAGAATGCAAACAAAGCTGTACATTCTAATGTTAGCATTTTTTCCAATGGCGCTGTAGTATTGGGTTTGATTTTATAGTTACAACAATATAATTTCAGATGTTTTCATATTGAAATCCAGCTTTGGCAAAACTTGTGTGGGAAGAGGTTACCATGACCACTTCAGTTAAAGAAACCTTTAAGCAAATGGCAGCTCTGGTTGTGCTTAGCAAACTGAATGCAATGTATAATATAATCCTGCAATAGATTTAGAATCACTATTCAATATATCCCCCTGAGTTTTTCTTGTAACAGAATTCTGCCAGAAGAGAGGCTTTAACATATCACCCAGCTATACTGCCTTTTCTTGCTTAAAATCCTTTTGTGAACAAAATACACCCCACACTACGTCCAAGAAAAAAACCGCCACAATATAGTGATAGAAAGCATGTTAAATAAAATTCAGCAACAATGAGCACAGGATACACAAAGACACACACACACACACAAACACACAATTTAGAGAAAATCTGAGATCTAAAATGTCTTTGAACAGAAATAGCTTTAAGAATCTAAAGTCTACTGAGAAAGAGAATCAATAATTAATCACCTACCTAACTTCTTTTGATATTTGCACTTGAGAAAGAATGATATATGGATTAGGCAAACATTCACACACATACATATATACATACATATGGGATGAGATATTCCTCCAAATTCTCTAGTCTTAAGCTATTTAGAATTTCAAACATAAACATCTCCAGTTAACTATCGCAAGAGATTGTTAAACTGTTATAAAACGCAAGAAATAAGATCATTTAAGAATGCCATAGTACAGTTGTATCAGAATACAGCAGCCATTCCCTGGCATATGTTTTAAGAAACAATTCTCCAAGTAAGAACACAATCGTGGTAAAATAGCGCTTCTATTTTGCAGTGAAATTTTGCAGTTTTTCAGCAAAGGGCGTATCAAGGGTGAACAAGGCATTTTCTGCCCCAAACTCTAATCTAACATTTGATTGAACTGGATCCAAATGTGCTTGAAATGTTGACAATTAGCACTCAAACCTAAAAACCTAAAAAAGGGAGAGAGAGTATTTGCAATTAGAATTGTTGGATCTTCCAAATCGAAGTTCAGGATTGGCTTTCCATTACATCAGTACAGCTATCCCTACATTGTCCCTAATTATTGATTATGCTGGATGGGCCTGTGGGAGTCTGTAGGTTGGGAAAGGCTAATCTAAAAGAAAAATATGTCTTTCTTTTGAAAATGTATGTTAGCAATTTAGAGAGTCATGGCAGCCTTCTAGATAGAGCAACTAGTGACCCATTGGGCACTGTGAATAAGTTAATCTGTAGATAGACATGTTGGTAGAGAGAAATTATGTCACCATTCAGGCTCCAATATTCCAAAGCAGACCCCTGGAAATGGCATGTATTTATGGAGTCCTCTTCTGTCCAGGCACACATTCCTCAATGCCACTGAGCAGAATGTGAGGAGAATGAAGAAGAAATGTAGGGTGGGGGGGAAGAGGAAGGGGGAAAGGTAATGAAAAAAATCACTCTGTCCCTTTTCTGTTCTGGCTGCAGGAAATGTGGAAGACTTTGGATATTGCAGTAGATGTCTCACAACATTACCCTTTTTTGCCATAATAGGATTGCTTTGGAAGTTTCTGAAAAGCCAGTGAGTCCATAAAATTCATTTGATATGAAAAAACAAAAGAATGAAGGATTACTGGGGTCATGTGAACTAACTGGGAAAGCATCTAAATGTTTTGCTGAGTTCATAAAGCTTTCTGTATATATCAAGGGAGACCAAATTTATGATATATCTGCCACAACTAAAACCATTTTTTATAACAGAATTTTAAATATACTAATAATATTCCATATCACAGCAGATGAGAAGGGTTGGCTGATCACTTCCCGAATAATAACAGTTCAAGTGCTGAATCTCTTGTTCCGAAAACAGAGTTATTGGGACTGTAATTGGAACTGGTGCAGTTCCTCTTTAATCTGAAAATATTTAAGCAACATTTTGCAAAGGCTGGGCAAAACGCAAGTGTGGGACTTGCTAAGTAGTTTTCTTCGTCTTTGGTGGTTAAGAATCCTCTCTTTCACCCATAAATCCAGCCTGAGTGAGTTCTGTTTATTCTGTTTACTGCAATTACCTAACCTGTGTGAGTCTGTATATAAATCATAGGGACTAATGATTTATGGGCCGACACATCATTCTGAAGGAGTGCACAATGTCCCTACACAGAAAGCTTTTATAGAAACCTTTTTTCCTCAGAGGGAGGAGATAAGAGCAGTGGGTGCTATGTAGCTCTAGGCCATATTTCTGCCTTTTTTTAAAGAGCTCAACAGAACCAAGAGGCAAAAGAAATTCAGCCTGTTTATTTGTCAACTGTGCTAACTCACAAACCAGGGGTGAAATACAGCAGGTTCTGACAGGTTCTGGAGAACCGGTAGCGGAAATTTTGAGCAATTCAGAGAACTGGCAAATACCACCTCTGACTGGCCCCAGAGTGGGGTGGGAATGGAGATTTTGCAATATCCTTCCCCCAGGAGTGGGGTGGGAATGGAGATTTTGCAGTAACCTTCCCCTGCCACACCCACCAAGGCACACCCACAGAACCGGTAGTAAAAAAATTTGGATTTCACCACTGTCACAAACTGAGTATGCCAATGAATATTATTATATACATACCAATTGCCAAGCCTCCGCTCCTCCCAGATGTATAGGCACCAATTGTATTGATTTTTTATTAGAAAATGAATCTTTTTTTTTCTTGTGTGCCTTCAAGTCAGTCTTTTCTTCTGGTGATTGCCTGAAGAAGTCCCTGAAATTTTCTTAGTAGGGTTTTTCAGAAGTGGTTTGCCATTGCCTTGTCTCTAGGACTGAGAGAGTGTGAGGTCACCCAATGGGCTTTGTATCTAAGGCAGGACTAGAACTCATGGTCTCTTGGATTCTAAATTGATGGTTGCTATGGACAATTTCTTCGGTTCAATATGATAGACAGAATTCGCCAAAGAGAAGAATACATAGGAAAAAGCTAAAAGACAGCTGAACAATGAGCAGAGGATATACAAACGGACAAGAACTTCTTTTAAATGCACAAGGTACATCAGAGGTAACTTTCTTGGGTCATAATTTATCAGCCTATAAACCTATCGTTTTCCTATAAACGAAGTTGCACTTTAAAGAGATGGCCTGGACACTGGTAATTGAACTTAGATGTTTTTAACATTTGTATTTTATTGTGTTTTACTGTCTAGGTAAAATGTTAATATCTTGCTAGTCCGTGTATGATATGCCATACACTAAATAAATAAATAAATAAACTCATACTCTCCCTTTTTTTTCTCTCTATTTTTCTCCTCTTGTTCATCTGGCTACTTTAAAGCATTATTCCCTATTACTTTATCATCAACAAGGAGGGATATTTGTTCTTGGGAAATCAATGCTTGCATCTCTGATGGGTTCCCTATAGACAAGAAGGTGCCCAAACAGATAAAGCCCCTGGTGATTTTTCTTTGAACACACAGATGGTAAACAAACTTTCTTCACCTGATATCTGCTTCCCCCCCCCTCCAAGAATTAAAACTGATAAGCCAGCCTCTTCCAGACGACAACAGCCAGATGTTTCTTCCTAGCTTCATTCGCTTAGCAGGGAACCATTTGGTTAGCAAGCTTGAAAGTCAATTTGTTTAGAAATTGACTTGATGAAAAAGCTTAGTTAAGTGACATTCACTGACCATAGCAAGCTGAAAGGTACATAACACAAGAAGTGGACAAGAAAGAAAGAAATTTTGAAAATGATGAAGATTTTTAAAAGACTAGGAAAATATATTATAGGTTACTCAGTTCCACATCAGCCATCTGCCTCTAATATACTAAATTAACACAGGAATATATATTTGTGGTCAAGATTACTAAATTACTTAAGAGTTTTGAGAGAAAATATTGTATAGTGCTTTTATTTTTTTACAACTGTGGAATTGCTGAATGGTTGATTGATGGTTTAATTAATTACATGATCAATATACATAATGCTGACTGAATTACAAAGGTTTTAAAAAGTGCCAAGACATGTTTCTGACCAAAGGAGATGACCATCTGGACTTGGGGAGTGTGGGATAGCATGAATGGGAATAAATGAATACAAAAAGTTGGTTTGGAAAACCATTTAATAAAGATTGGGATAGAAATCCACCTAAACAATAAACAGAAATACATGGGATATATCCCACTTTTTCTTTCAATATTTTCATGTAATATTTCAGGGCTAACATTATGATTTTTTTATACTACAATGAAACAAGAGCCTTCTCTGTCATGGTGCCTCTCAGATGCCTTAGGACTCCAATGATGTGGAGATTAAGGCAGTGTTTCTCAACTTTAACAACTTTAAGATATGAGGACTTCAACTTACAAGAATTCTGGGAATTAAAGTCCACATATTTTAAAGTTGCAAAGGTTGAGAAACAGTTGATATAAGTATGGGAGTTGGCACAAATCCATCACCAGACATGGAAGCTCACTGGTGACTATGGGACAGCCCAATCTATCCCACTGGGTTGTTACTGTGGGAAAAAATGGGGAAAGTTAACACAACCTTGACCTTCTGAACAAAATATGGACTACAAATCTAACAAATGCATAAATAAATGTCCAGGATTCACAGCCAGGATTTCTACTGAATGAGCATTCTGGAGCACATCTGTAAGGAGTTGGGACATTAAAATCCTGAACACAACATTATTGTTAAACCAAGCTTTGAAAAAGCAACACTTGAAAGCAATGCAAATATTAAATATCTTTTGAAACAAAATCACCTTGGCTTGTCTAAAACATGGTCAACCAAGGGCTAAACATACTTCCCTAGGGAGGAAATTTCATAAATAAGAAGACATTGCTCAGAAGGCATGTCTGCCTAATATGTAGAGTAGAGTAGACTAGACTAGACTAAAATAGACTAGACTAGACTACGGTAGACTAGACTAATATAATAATAATATAATATAATATAATATAATATATAATATAATATATATAATATAATATATATATAATATAATATAATATAATTATATTATATATATTATTATATTATTATTATATTATATTATATTATATTATATTATATTATATTATATTATAATACAATGCAATACAGCACAGCACAGCACAGCACAACACAACACAACACAATACAATACAATACAATACAATATAATATTTTAGGTGAGCATGCCTTCTGAGCAATGTTATCTTATTTATGAAATTCCCTCCCCAGGGAAGTATGTTTAGCCTTTGGTTGACCATGTCTTAAAAAGCCCATGGACTTAAAAACAAATCCTAAAGCTGGTAGTTCATATTGGGGGGGGGTCATCCTTTAAAAATCACAATGAATGTTTTCAATACACTCTGGAGATAAAGGCATACAATATGCCAAACAAAGAATGAGTGTGGTATCTCTAATATTGGTATCATCCAATGGCTTGTTCATCTAAATGAACTTAAGGGGATATAAACATATTCTCTGCATATGACAGAATCTATTGAAGGCAACCATACTTGTCCAGAACAAAGCTAAAGTCTGGGGGGCTGGCAGGGGGTAGGGGGAATGGCATGGAAAGAATGGCCCAATCTTAATTTAAGCTAGTGTTTTTCAAATTTAGCAACCTTAAAAGAAGGGTGGACTTCAACCTCCCCCCCACCCTAATTCCCCAGCCAACATGAATCCCATAATACAGGTACTCTTTGCTTTTTACTACATCCCACATCAGAGCAACTCCTGCAATCAGTGCAGTTCAATGTTGAGAAAAGTAAGGGTCTACATTTAGGAAAGAAAAACCAAATGCACAGATATAGAATAGGTGGTACCTGGCTCAATGGTAGTGATTGTGAGAAGGCTCTTGGAGTCCTAGTGGACAACGATTTAAATATGAGCCAGCAGTCTGCTGCTGCTGCCAAAAAAAGCCAACACAGTCCTAGGCTGCATTAACAGACGGATAGAATCAAGATCACGTGAAGTGTTAGCACCACTTTATAATGCCTTGGTAAGACCATATCTGGAATACTGCATCCAGTTTTGATCACCACAATATAAAAAAAGACGTTGAGACTCTAGAAAGAGTGCAGAGAATAGCAACAAAGATGATTATGGGACTGGAGACTAAAACATGAAGTACGGTTGCAGGAATTGGATATGTCTAGGTTAATGGAAAAAAAGGACTAGGAGCAGCATGATAGTAGTTTTCCAATATCTAAGAGGCTGCCACAAAGAAGAAGGGGATCAACCTATTCTCCAAAACATTTGAAGGTAGAAGAAGAAGCAATAGATGGAAACTAATCAAGGAGAGAACCAACCTAGAACTAAGGAGAAATGTCCTGACAATTAGAACAATTAATCGCTGGAATGGCTTGTCTTCAGAAGTTGTGAATGCTCCAACACTGGAAGTTTTTAAGAAGAGATTGGACAACCGTTTGTCTGAAATGGTATAGGGTCTCCTGCATGAGCAGGGGGTTGGACTAGAAAACCTCCAAGGTCCCTTCCAACTCTGTTAATCTGTTATTCTTTCTGTCTTGTTTTTCTTCCACTGAAGTCAATTTCCCTGTAAAGAGAAATAAACTGAAAGAATTCTTGGGTTTATAATTCAAGTGTGTATTTCAGCTGCTGAACTTATACTTTGATTGAGGCCTGGCTATTAGCAGCACTTGGGCAATTTGCTCCCATTGCCCACTCCACCCAGCACTGCTGCAAAAGACAATGTTGGCCATGAGGCAGTGGAGCAAAGTATTCTGAAAGACTTCCCACTTAGCCTGGTGACCTGTCTGCTTGGGACTCTCAGCCACCCTGCCACCAAGCAGGCAGTCTTGTTAATGCTGCTTTTCCCACCCCCACTGCAAAGGCTTCCCAGTTGTGAGTTGCTGCCAGTTTTGATGCAAACCATTGCATGCTGACTCCCCCTCCTCCTTGTTAGCAGGAATGCTCTTGCGGTAATTTCTCCTTGATAGCCTACGTTGTCTCCTTCTATAGCACTCGTCTCACACTGGAGAGAGAATGAGGGAAAGATCAGGCTGGGTCCTGGCTGTTTAGTCTACCAATCAGATTGGTGACAAAGAGTCTAGCAGCTGGCATGGAGCACTTTGGTCCATGCACCTCTGGCTGCCACCCCGTCTTCTTTTGTGAGAAGGACAAGGAGTGTGAAGATTTCTTTACTCTGCTGGAGACCATGTTAGAATACAAGTACAAAAACAAGGAGTCAAAGCACTGAATCAGAAACAGGCAGGCTATGCTGAAGCATCCTTCCTTAGTTGGCATTTGTTAAGATACCTTGGACTACCAGAGCCATTGACCTAGCCAATCTATGGCCTGGAGATAATGAAACATGAAGTTCAATGCATCTCAATGGCTTCCCATTGGGGATCTAAACCAGACACGTTGTACACTGGAGTGATTTTTGAGTCTATGTAGAGAGTTTGCCATCCACAGGAACTGGCTCTAGGCACTCAAATCATTTGAATCCTTCCTTTATATGAAACGTTTTATGCTGAGATTTCAATTTTTAAAAATAACTCTTAAGGTTTGTAAAACTCCAGTGTTAAAACAAATGCACTGCCTTCATTTTACTTTCCTTTTCCACCAATAAAATATAGTAGTAGTGTGGAAGGGAATCCTATGTCTTCTGGCCTACAAAGAGCAGAAATCCCTCCCCATCCCATTTTTCCCAGGCCAGAGAAGAAAGGGCTCTGATCTCCCTTTTCCTTTCAGAGATCAAGAAAAGTCACCCTCTCCGTGTGCTGAGGAAGAGATCCAGTTTCAGGGGGATTGGTTGGGTTTCTAGGAGAAAAATGATCTACTGTAGCTCTAAACTAGGTTGAAAAGAT